GAAAAGGGGCAGACAAAATAAGATTTATTCTTCTTCTGCTACCTTTCATTTTATTTTGATTTGCATATATTTTTTGGTTTGTTTATTTTTATTATTGTACATAGTATTTTTAATGAAATGAATACATTTTTGAATTGAAATTGAATTGTCTTCATCAATAACTCTCCATGTTTTCTGTATTTCTAAGTTTTTGTCAAGAACTTTGCTGCTTTTTTAATCCTTTTCTGTCCAATCCTTGTACCCAACCGTGACAATATAACCCAGTTTGTGTTTAAAAAAACCACAGGAAAGTTAAACAAGAGAAAGACAAAAAAGGAAAAGTCAGGTCTTAAACTAGCTGCAGCAGATGAACAGTATCTGAATGTGTGTATATTAGTACAGAGATTAAGGACATTTGTGTTTGGTAGATTAATTCTTTGTAGTAACAGTGCTTCTCAGCAATAAATCTTATTCAGTTGGAAAACCTCTTGATTTCCCTTTTAAATGCTGCCACATTTGTAAGGAACATGCATTTGTGGGATGTGCAGCAGAGCTGAGTATGTGGGCTGCGCTCATGAAAAAAAAACCCAAATCTTCTCTGCCATTACAAAACATTTTATTTTGCTGTTTATTTATTTTTATTATTATTTTGACTCCTGCTTTGAGCTCTTGCTACACCCTAGGTGCGTCCACACAGGTGCCCGGCGTAAAATTTATTGCCAAGAAGCAAAGAAATGTTAAAACAGGAAACAGAAAGATTGATTTTTGATGCAAGATATAAAGAAATTGGCCGTGAGTTATGACTTTTATTTTTTTGGATATTACTGCAGGCTAAATTATTTTAATATGTTCAAATGAAAATGAAATTACATCAGTGCTCAGTCAGCTTCAGCTTAATCGACAATTCAACTAATTTCCTAAAAACTGTGGCTGATGTTTATTTCTCATCCTCTACTTAGTGTTGCACTGTGCAGCAAAAATCTAACACCTTCTATGTTTTCTCTTCTTTTTTTTTAGGTCTTTAAGACAAATCTTGTCACGAGTGACCACTCTGCATCATCATCCTGTAACAGTATAAACACATGAGCATCACTTTGAAAAGATTCGTTGAAACCATTAAACAGCTGCAGTCTGTGTTGTAGGTGCTTAGATAAGAAATAAAAACACAACTAAATGGTGACTTAGACTATTTTACCAGGTTAACGAGGCAACCCTTTTCTCAACCTGTGGCTCATCTGCGTCTCTGACCCGTCAGTTCACTTCAGTGTTTCTGACTGGACACCTTGTTCTGTGCATCTGTGCTGCCAACATAACCTTCAACAACACGCCTTGATGTTAAAACACTTTGTAACATGTTAGAAGTGTGGAAATCTGACTTATGATTTTACATATTGGAACAATTGTGAGTTGCAGGAATAAATAGTATTTTAGCTACACTTGGCTCTTTTGTGTGATTCTATTGAATGATTGACACGAAGATAATTCGCTTCATTTTGTGTCATTTGAAATAGTGAACATAAGGGATTTTGTATGAAAGCAAGTATTCCCAGTGAAATGAACATGTCAGTCTTAAACCTCATGTAATTATTGATTTGTGAGTAACAAACTATTATAACTGAGACATAACAATCTTGTCACTTTTACTGTACTTCTAGTGTTATAATGTTTTGGCTCATTTTGCCATCTGGTGGTTATTTTAAAGTATTACATTTTCGCATGATGGGGAAAAAACGTCTCACTCAACCAAGAGATTTGTTTCCTGCACCTGTTACTTGATTTGCAGAAAAGAAAGATAAATACTCTAGAAAAATAAGCAATTCAACAAAGTCTCCAACAAAATGAGATGAGTTTTTTGAGAATAAACTTATGTTGAAAATAGAAATCATCACCTTGGCATACCTTCAACAAGATGATGATCACCTGAGCTGTGAGCTGCTACAGTAATTGAGCATCAGCTTTTGCTAAGCATAATCGGAGAAGTCAAAAAGAAATATGAAGAAAAGCTGAACCCTGATTGATGAAGAGTTTAATGAGATACAGAAATCCCTGGATTTTATGTCTGATGAGATAGCAACAATCTCACAGCAACAGAAACTCATAATGGACTTAATGGGGGAGGTTAAAGAATTGAAGAGACTGCAGGTTGAGAAAGACAAGCACATAGCTCTCTRGGAACATCGGGTGGCTGATTTAGAACAATATAGTCGAATGAAAGATGTTATTAGCGGGTTGGAAACCAAGCCACGATCATGTGCCCATGCAGTGACACAGGCAAACACTAATGAAGAAAAGGATGAAGAGCAAAGGTCACTTGAAAAACAGGTAATCACATTTTTATGTAATAAAGGTAAATACTCTTGAAAACAATAGCTTTGAAACTTGTCATTTTCTTTCACAAAAAAAAAAAAAAAAAAAAAAAAAAAAAACAAAGGAGTTAAACCAGCCATTCTGATCAGGTTTACCAATAGGAAACATAAAACTGTGCTCTTAAAACAGGTGCGGAAATTAAAGTCAGTGTCTATGGAAATGAACATCTTACAAAGATCAACGCAGACATGGCAAGATGAGCACATTTTCTCAGAAAAAAAAAATACAATACGGACCAGCCATATTGGTGGGGTGGGGGGGGGTCTGCAGCAGCAGAAAGAACAGGGAGAGGCTGCCAGCTAAACTTAATAACTTTATAATTTAAAAAATCTATAAGACAGTCCAATAGGTCTGTGTGCAAAACGGGGAAAACGTGTCTAATTCAGACAATCTGTACAACTTGTCACGAAGCCACGGCTACAAAAACCACCAATAATACACAGAAAAGCAGAACAATATGCTGCTGCACCACAGACAGGTGTCTCAGCTGCACCACAGACAGGTGTCTCAGCTGCACCACAGACAGGTGTCTCAGCTGCACCACAGACAGGTGTCTCTGCATCATAGACAGGTGTCTCATGAAGCCAGAATGAAAGTCATCACTGAAGCAACACATTTAACAAGTTTTCTCAACTGCAGCCACAGCTGTGCCATACATTAACAACAGCATCAATGCGGTTATATAATAAGCTGCTAACTAAATAAAACATTTAAACAACATACATTTTACTCACCAAAACTTTTTATTATCTGTTTTAAAACTCCATCCTTTTTCTCCTCAAGAAAAATCTGACTCCTCTGTCATACAGGTCCTCATGGCGTTTCGTTTCAACAATAAGTCCTTTCCTATCACCACCATGAAGCTAACACTGAAAGTCCAGTCTGTTCTGTTCTTTTGTTATGTTTTAATTTTCTACACTCCACAGACTCTACAGAAATCCCGCTTCTGACTCCTGCTCTCTGATCAGCCAATCAAACGATGAGAAAATGTTGACGCTGTGAGAGGCCAGGCAGGCTCTGGTGTCTTCACCTCAGCACCTGATTGGTCAAAGCAACAGTATCGCTGCCATGTGTTTCACCATCTGGTGCCTTCGCTGTTCGTTTTGAAGGCCTGAGGCAGATTTGTYGACCCTAGCAACAGGTGATGATCGAAATATGATTGGATAAAACCTTTAAAATAAATACAAGCTGCTGGACGCTGCACAGCCAGGAGAAAAACTATGAAATGAAGAGAACAGATATTTAAAAAATAATAATATCCTTATAATAATGTTAATAACTATTATAATAAATATAAAATATTCTATAATGTAGTGATTCTGATTGTGTTTAGGCCAGCAGAAAAGGGTTTGCTGGCCCTGACGGCACACCACCGCCACCACATGATGTTTGTTAAAGAATCTAGTAACTAACCTCGTCTGTTTGAGTTAAATCACCACACAATCACCGCTAAAATTAGAGCTCCATAAATCTCAATCTGAGAGAAGTATACAACTCCTGGCAAAAAGTATGGAATCACCAGTCTTGGATGAGCACTCATTCAGACATTTCATTCTGCAAAACAAACTCAGATCAATAATAAGGTCATTCCAAAGTGCAACTTATTGGCTTTCAGGAACACTCAAAGAAATGAAGAGAAAACATTGTGGGTCAGTGAATGTTACTTGTATTGACCAAGCCCACATCTTTAGCAACCATGCGTGAAGAGTTACCTTCTTCAAGAAGTTTCACAATCCTCTCTTTTGTTTCAAGAGACATTTCTCTTGTTGGAGCCATGGTTCTTGCCACTCCACTTCATCCAGCAGCCCTCCATGGTGTCATGACTGCAGGTGTTTTTAACTGCAGACTAACGAGCAGAGCTAATCTGAGGCAGGTGTCCATTTAGGGAAAGGAAATTAACTGGGTGTGTCCTTATTTTCTACCTCCAATTTGAGTGATTCCATACTTTTTTCTTCAGAACTGAGTGATTCCATACTTTTTTCCTCAGAATTGAGTGATTCCATATTTTTTTCGTCAGAATTGAGGGATTCCATATTTTTTCCCTGTGCTTGGTCAATAAAAGTAACATTCACTGACTTCCACAATGTTTTCTCTTCATTTCTTTGAGTGTTCCTGAAAGCCAACAAGTTGCACTTTGGAATGACCTTATTATTGTATCATGTTTTTGATCTGAGTTTGTTTCACAGAATGAAATGTCTGAATGAGTGCTCATCCAAGACTGGTGATTCCTTACTTTTTGCCAGAGGTTGTAGTTTCAGTGTTCTGGTGATGAAAAAACTGGACAGTGGCTTGATGCTGATCTTTTCTTCTCTTCTTGTGACACATGTGGGAGATGAGTTTCTGGCACAGCAACACACACTGTGGTATTTTTCTCCATTATGGAAGCAGTCCCCAGGAGCTGGCAGCTCCAGGCCCAACAGCCCCCGTGAGGCAACAAGACACTTTTTCTCCTGAGAACACGAGTAACAGACCTTGAGCTTCATGGCTGCTAGTTCTCCCTAATTGATAAGGTTGATGTAACAGTTGTTTGACTCCTTTATTATAGTATGTCTCTTTTGGGAAACTGTTCTTTTTCAGAACTGTGGATTTGCTTGAATAAAACACCRATGTTTGCTGATGAAACACCTTTCTAGGTAGCAGTTTAATTTACAACAAAAATACTTGATAAATGGTCTAAAATGCTTTATCAGTCTTTATCAAGTCCTAACAAACTCCAAAGCATTATACACTTCAATCATTCACCCATTCATACACACATTCCTACACTGATGATGAAAAAAATAAAGCATAAATTATCAATTGAACACAACCAACCTAAAATAGGTGTTAAAGCAAACTTAGACAGGATTGGTTGAAACAAGTTCAGATGAAAAGCTTTAAAAATCACAGACTGACAATAAAGCTCCCAGTTGAATAAACTGAGGACAACGGGGACCTTTTRTGGACGTGAGTGGCCATGCATGAGCTCCTACACAGAGCTAATGAAGGAGATGAGGGCTGCTGATGGAGTTTGTTTAAAGTCTCAGRAGAGACGCTGGTGATGCTGGATCTCTGGAGGCTTCGGGGACGAACATCTGTCACTTTTGTCTCGTCTCCGTCTTGGTTCCAGCCAGCTACAGTTTTTATATTTTCTTTAATTCAAAATCAAAAAAGCTACAGACTTGGTTGTGTGTGCCAGCTAGTTGTTAATGTTGTTTTAAGAACCTCTTATCTCAACTAACAAACTCAGAAGTAAAATCATCGAGAAAGAGAACTGACTCCTCCAATCAATACATTTGAACCATACAGCTTTTCTATTTAAACTAACTGACACCAGGAGGACATTGTTCAGGCCCATGCCAGAAATGTGTGTTTTTTTTAACTGTTATTTAGATTTGATAAACAGATAAAGTCTGTGACTAAAACATATTTTTTAAYACTAAGAAACCCTTAAAAGGTTAAATTGTTGTAACTCTTTATCTTTGTTTTGGCATCAGTCAGCCTCTGTTGTCTTGTCTGCAGCTGCAGGTTCTTGCTGTATCTGATGATACTTTTAAAAAGAATCTCAATAGATGTCAAAATGCAAATAAGCTAAATTTAAATAATTTGATGGACTACAATAGTCATGAAGTTTATAGACACAAAGGAAAAATATGGTTACACACCATCTCCATTTTGAACATAAAACAAGTAAAAAAAAACTTCAGCAACCCAACATCTTAATGATGATTAAAAATTAAGTTTTTTTATCATCTTTTATGCTTTTCTGACAGAAAACAGACTGTCCTCATTTTTGGACTCAGTATGTGGAACTTTGATTTAACTAAGTCAACGTGGCCCTTTGGAAGTAAAATGCTGCCCACTACTGTTCATCAGATACCTTTGATTAAAGTGACCCTGTTCACCTTTCAAAATGGCTCGAATAAATTAAGATAAAAGAAACAAAGACTAAGGAAAAAGTAACGACAGAACAACACTGGTCTGACACTGAATACAGGAAATGGGGCAGAGCTGAGTGGAACAAAGGCAGAAATAAAATAAAAAAACAATCTGACAGAACAGTAAAAACAACAAAAACTTCAACAAAATAAAACATTCAAATCAAGAGARGACATCTGTTTGAGGCTTTCAGCAGAATTTAGGACAAAAAATGTCAGAATTAAAGAAAAGACTAACCTTTGGTGGTGATCCAGATCCAAAGAAAGCTTTAATATAGTCTTGATAGAAGCACACAGCACTCTGTCTGCTGCTGTRATTCAGGGAAGGTGCACTTTAAGACCAGTGAGAGAGGTCATTGAGTGTACTCTGGGTTCATTAGTCATTCTGCATTCAATTAGATACCTTGCTCTTTGTTCACTTTGGGAATTGTGGTGGTGGTGGTGGGTCTTCGTTTTTTTAATATCCCATCCGTCTTGTCTTGACAGGAATGATTAGAAACAAAAACATAAGATGTGATTCTGAGCTGTAAAAGAATCTTTCCACAACAACTTTAACTTCATTTATTCGATTTCCAGTCAGCTGTTTTGACCTTATTGAACTTTATATGAGTTGAATAAAATGGCGGCTGTTTAAACCATCAATAAATCTTAACTGATAAATTTCTCTTAACTCAAAAACACATTCAGATTGCTTGAGGAGCGTTTTCAATAATGCACCATTGTCATATTATATTCATAATTTGCCTCAGTGAACACTCCATCCAAAACTGCTGGGTTTAACTGAGTCATTTTAAGGCCTAATTTGGCATCCTGTATGTGAGTGCAATGAAGCTTTTGTATTTGATATAGAAATTAAAAATTGATTAAAAATCAATCTATTCTCCAGAATCAGGTCACTTGGGATATAACTTTTATTGCGATACCTTATCATAGTTAATTAAAACCTAGAGCATAAATATTTATTTTATTTCATTTAAGATTATCTAAAAACAAACTGGGTTCAATGAGATCAGATCTGTGTAATGTCTGTTCAGAGTCTCTAGATGGCAGCAGAGACTCTTTACAACTCTGCAACTTAAGTTTATCTGTTTTAAACCTAGCAAATTCAATCAAGAACAGATTTATCCTGTTTATTTTTAATAGACTGTTTACAGTTCATAATCAAATAAAATATTTTTTTCATGGGTTGCATAATACAATGCAGAACTAAATAAATCAAACCATATAAGAGATAAAAAAAATAAATAAAATAAAGTTGATATCACGCTTCTTTACTTCTTCTGTGAGCATATTATTATTTTAATGTGTTGAGGTAAAAAAAATAAACATAATTAGTTGAAGTGAAAATGATTGATGGAAAAAAGGTTTGACAAGATGCTCATCTGACATTCATTTAAAGAAGAGTCGTACAGCGKATATCTCTAATTGTTAGACTCTCGTTAAGGCTGTGCCATGGGGCCTTACAGGGTAATGAAACAGTTCCATACAGTGGCACTGAACTCAGTGACTTTTCACCACACCTCCATAWATGAAGACTACAGCAGCTGATATAAAAGAATTGATTAATTTTGTGTGGAGAGCTCCAGTAGCTGCTAAACAGTTCAAAYTGACATAAAAATCAAAAACAAACAAAACAAAAAAAAAACTTTTTATCCACTCCTTATTTTTATTTATTTTTTATTAAGGCATTATTTTATGTATTATCTTTGCACTGATAAAAGAGTCAAAATACGTTGCTTATTGGGAAGTGGAAATGATTTTAATTACAGTCCCATAAAGCTCATAAACCATCAAAACTCAAAGCTGTGTTGTGGTTGAACCCACACTGAAGGTCCCATTCTCCCAACGCTGCACAGGCCACAGAGAAGATGCTCACACTCACATGTTACTCATATTGTCTCCCAGCCACACTTTTAACTTCAAAGACTCGCTCGCCCTCGTGTCTCAGGAGGAATGGAGGCACCAGAGCAGCCAGCCCTCTCTGCTTTGCCYCGGTTAACTATGGCTGCAGGCTGCTGCACCTCACCCTGCCTCCTGATAGGTAGGGTGGTGCAGGGGTGGTGGAGAGGGGCTCTCAGCCTCCTCTGTCCCTTCATTGTGCATCTTCCACAGGTTGGTTTGGTATGACAATTACAAAAAGTGCGTTCAGGAAAAAGCAGCTGTCATAAACAGAATTTGGAATTGCACGACTTTGGTGGAAATCATCAAACACAAAATAAAAAGAAAAAAAAATGTTTTGAACTTTCCAAGTTTGTGTGGTGAATTTGTTGGCACATTCATGCACTGCTCAGGTCTGAAGAGGGTCCTCCCCTGCTGAAATGGTGATGTTCAGCTCAAAGGAACAATGTGCTGGATTTACTTTATTATGAACAAAGCCTTTGTCTGAGGTGCTCACATTCTGAACGGGGGTCCAGAGTCCAAGAGCAGCTTTGAACTATCAGGTCAAAGACATCACAGAGCCGACGCACTGCTTCACATTCATCTTGTATCTCGCACAGGAGGTCCATCACATTTGTCCTTTTGATTGTCCTCTGTTTCTTCAAAGGACTGGCTGGAACCATAGGTCATCTGGAGGCTTTTATGTAGAAAAGAACCCTTCTTATTTACTCGTCCCTCCATGGAACAGCGATGGTTCCCACTTGTTTGCATGGCCCTAAAGAACTGGGATGTCTCTTTACATCTAAACAACAGATGACATTGAAAAAACAACGAAACATCAAACTTCGATTAAAAGATAGAAAAAAGGCTTTAGCCATATCAATAGAAGGGTGGGCTTAAATATGAAACCCTCTGTCATGAAATATGCAAAGCAAGCCCACCACAGAGAATAGCTGAAAACACAGGTTCTTTTGATGTTAAGTCCTTTGGTTGTGCATGTCTTCATTCAACTTGCCTGTGGATGTTTTAACCTTCTGTAAAACTTGCTGCCGCACCTCGCTCTCCCTCTCTACATCAGAGTAATGTGGATCTGCACTTCTGCCCATGATTTTTATTTCATGAACACTGTGGTTTTCTTTGCCAAGGTTCAGGAGCACCCGCCGTAGCATTTTCTATTCTTATTCAATATCCTTTTACGATTGTTGCTAATAACATCCTCAGGTGCTTTGTTGGCCTCATAGGGTAGCATTCATTGTTGAATGCACTTTTTATAACACTTGACAGCTTTTGACATAGAAAAATAAACAGTAGCATATGGAAATTAGGGTTGGGCAATATTGGCAAAAAAATTAATCACGATTAATTGTGGTATTTAGCCAATAATAATTAATTTGATGATTAATCCCCCGGAGTCCCTGGACACCCTTATGTCCTAGTCACATGATCAATTTATAGGGGAAAAAATTGGCTCTTCGTAAAAATCTGTTCCAAATTGTGTCAAAATTACAGACTTCAGGCTAAACATCAAACTTTTAATTGTGTTAATAGATAAATAAATTACAGAACTTTTTTTAATGTTTGTCATATTTGAATCAGAGAGGAGCACCAAGTGGTTAGTCTGCCTGCTGGCATTAATCATATTAATCGTTAAGTGCCAAAAATTAATCGAGTAATGTTTTTCTGATGATTAATTGCACACGATACGATTTTGCCCAACCCTAATGGAAATGCAAAGGTTTTGTACTTTAAAAAGATAATCTTTGCTTTTTTGTATCTATTTTTGTGCACAGACAGATGCTTTTCTTCATCTCTGTTTCGAACAAAGTAATACAAATGGGGCGAATGATCAATAAGCCACGGAACACGTATCTTTTGACTCCGGGCTGTTATTGCACAGATGAGCCTGTGTGTGTTGTGGTGCAATATTGACCGTCAGAGTTTTGATGATCCAGTCTCAGATGAGAGGAAACGTATCAGAGCATCGAGCATCGCGGAGGGGAGATGAAACACAATGCCTCACATGGTAGAGCAAATAATTACAGACAAATATTGTCTTCGCTGCATCTATCCCCGTCGTCTTTTCCATTTAATGCGCTGAGATTTCTCTGTGGAAGTGTAAGGACCAGGCAATGTCCCAGCAGTTGATCCGGGCACCACTGGTCTTATAAGCTTTTAACGCTCCAGAAGAGAAAGTCAGGACTGCTTGGTATTCACTGGACATAACAAGGCCTTTGATGTAGCCAGTATTCTTTTTACTCACCAGAAGCATCAACATTTAATGAGACCTGATATCAGCCTTTTTAGGCGCTGTGAATATTTTAGATAAAAGCAAATTGTGTCCACCAGCACCGGCAGACGTAGAGGTGGTCAGAGGTTCGTTGTCACCTGCGCGTTCTCTGTGATACGGCGCCGGAGCTGTGCCTTTGTGCAACGGGCTGTGTTCATTAAAACAGACCCATTTCACTCCCTGTTAATCAGCGAGCACACATGTCATGGGAGCACAGAGCCTGCAGCCAAAATCTGGTGCATAATTTAAAACCGCAGGTCAGGCTGTGCAATGAGTGTGTATTATCTCCACAAAGATGCATTGCAGTTCGATCCTTCCATTTTTACTTTACGTCTTGACGCACAGCTCATACTGGAAATAAACTTCAACATTTATTGTTCTTCAAAAAATTACGTATTTAGTGTTGTGTTTAAATTAAGACCTTAATGGAGACCCGCCCCCCATTCAACATCAGTCTAACAATTTCTACATCTGTCAGTGTGCGGGATAGATCGTGTGAGAGCGTGTGCAAGAAAGTGTCACAGTGAGCTGTGACTCTGCAGGTGTTTAAACTGTGGTGATGTAATTGGTCACAAGGGGAATAGAAACAAGAGCTCCACAGTCCTTGATTTGATCCCTTGGTTATTGATTTCTCAGTCTGCTTCTAACAGAAATAATTGCCACATGTAATGTATTATTCAATTACAAGACACTGCTCTCAAGTTTGGGTTTGATGGTCCTTTTTGAATCACTGAGACCTATAGATAATTCAGCACTGTCAGCCCATTAAGCAGCGCGAATATTAAATGGTATGCGTTAATCCTTCCTATTTATTAGCAGCCGTGATATTCACCAGAACTCAAAGTTTCCCCATTTTCAGCCTTTGTATAGTTGAAGGGAGTGGGCTTAACTTTCCAGGACTCTGTTATTGTGACTTTTATATCAGTTTTATGTAGAGGTTTTGTTTCAAACCAAGTTACAAAAATAAAAGCCACATTATTGTGCTTTTAAGAAAATGACAATTTATTAGATATGTATTTTATGCTATGCCTGGCTACTCAAGTGCAGTAAGTATTTTTAATTCTGACCATTTACAAGGATTATTGACYAAAGTCACACCCACCCCCCAAAAAAGTAGCTTGAGCTGGTTTAAGAGTGGGTTAGACAATGAAACTGACACACCTGGTTTTAGACCATAACATCCCTTTCAGACAGCTTCCTCTTGTGTCCACAGTTAATCCTGTTGGATGTGGTTGGTCCTTCTTGGTGGTATGCTGATATTACCCTGAATACTGTGGCTCTTGATACATCACAAAGACTTGCTGTCTTGGTCACAGATGCACCAACAAGACGTGCACCAACAATTTGTCCTCTTTTGAACTCTGGTGTGTCACCCATAATGTTGTGTGCATTGCAATATTTTGAGCCAAACTGTGCTCTTACCCTGCTAATTGAACCTTCACACTCTGCTCATAGTGGTGCAATGTGCAATTTATGAAGACTGGCCACTAGGCTGGTCCAATTTAGCCATGAAACCTCCCACACTAAAACAACAGGTGTTTCAGCTTCATTGTCTAACCCCTATACATACATACATACATACATACATACATACATACATACATACATACATACATACATAC